TCTTCCCCCTCCTCATCTCTTTCCACACTAGTCCAGTCCCTATCCAGAGTCCACCAGGGCCTCTCCCCTTTGCCCATAACCAGGGACCCTGCTGGGAGGACTGAGACGCTCAAACCAGATAGTCCAGACGCACGGGGTCCTCTGGTCAGTCGGGGCGCTCCAAGCCCTTGCCACTCCCTCCATCAAAGAGCCGCGCTCTTGTAAAATGTCTAAACACAGACAAGACAGCTCATGCGGGAAAACGCTGATGATGGGGAGCGGGCAGGCCCCAGGCCTCCAGGTGTCTTCACAGACCACTTCCTTCCCGGGTTTTCAGACCTTTCCCCTCCTTGTCCCTGCACCGGCCCTGCTGCACATGCGATCCACACCTGGGTTCCAATAGTTGCTTTTTGCTAGTCCATGCCAAGATAAGTAGAAAAATTGAAGAAAGAAATTAGAAACGTTTATAACAATATGACAGAATAATTCTATGTTTGTTTAATACAATCATAAAAAAAAGTAGGCCCTGTGTTTTGTACATTTTTTTTTAATTTCGTATTCCTAGTCATTTGCTTTTATTGTATTCTACAAAAGTATAGGTTCACAGTGGATTGGAAATTCAAAAGGAAAACAAGTTCTTCAACACAGAGAGGTGAGAATTCCTGTCCTACACACACACACACACACACACACACACACACAACACACACACACACACACACACACACACACACACACGAGGTACCTGCACTCTTAAGCACTTCCCTCCCTAGAATCTGCTCCCCTCCCCCAGCTCTATTCCCTAGTATCCCTAGAATCTGCTCCCCTCCCCCAGCTCTACTTTTCTAGTTTAGAAAAGGAGGGGGACCAACAGATGGCGGGAGGTTAAGGCACTGGATCCCCACAACTGACAGCGCTGTTTCGAGTCCCAGACCGGGAGGCTTGAACATCACAGTGGGCGCGCACGTGTGTGTGTGTGTGTGTGTGTGTGTGTATGTGTGTGTGTGTGCTCAAGATCCTGACAGGAGAAGGGAGAAGGGGTTACGGCATGGCCATCCTCCCTGGGGGCGGGGGTGGGGGTGACTTCTTCCTTTCTCTCTCTCTTTCTCTCTGGTAGGCACACGCATCATAGAACAAAACAAAATAGAAAGAAAAGTAAAGAAAGAGCTGGAGTTTTTACAAAATGAACCATTACTGAGACAACTGAAGAAACAGAAATTCCCAGAAAAGAACACAGAGGAAGTAGAGCTTTCAGAGAACACCCAGGCTTCTCAGCTCAGATTCTCACTGATGGGCCTGGTATCAGCCCACCCGGCCCCAAAGCCTCATTTCCAGTCCTCGGCTATGGGGCAGGAAACTGCGTCGGTTCTGGGAGGACAGTAGGAGGCAGGGCAGGAAGGCCATCTCCAAGGGAGGACGAGGCTGCCACAGTTCTGTAGGGACAGACCCTACGGGCACTGAGGATGGGTGCTCTGGAGGGACCAGATGGCTACTTCCCCACCCTCTCTCTCTCTCTCTGTGGCCTCATCAGGCTTCCTAGCCCGCCACAACACGGCTGCCCACCCACGAAGAGCTGCCCACGTGTAGCCTCACCTATGCCCAAGGCTCCATGCTGGGAAGCATTGTTCTAGGTGCCAGGTCAGAGCACACGCACTTACCCCTCTCGGCCGTCTCTATGGATTCGGCTCTCTAGGGTCGCATCAACTTAACTACAGGGTAGAGAGAGGAACCCTGCAGCTGGGTCTTCGTTGGAGAGGCAGCCTAGAACTGCTTCTTACAAGTGAGAAGTCAGGGCCAGCAGGTGGTATAGTGGTTAAGGTGCTGGACTCCCATGTGGTCAACTGCAGTTTGAGTCCCAGACCTGATCGGTGACTTAAAACTCACTTTGGGGGTGTGCGTGCATGTGCGTCCAAAATTCCAAGAGGAGACCGGAGAAGAGATTGCAGCACGGCCATGTCCCCTGGGGGATAATTTCTCATTTTCTGCCTTTCCATCTCTCTCCATCTGTCTCTTCCGTGAGCACAAGTGCCCTATACCAAAAATCTCTCTTAAAAAAGAGTAAGAACCCAACAGCTGAGGGCCCCAGGCTGCCCTCTGGTGGACTTCTCGGGTAGTCAGGGCTTGTGTACACTCCTACACAGAGGAAAACTTCAGCCTAAGGTGTGATTAGATTCTGTGATTAGATTCGATTTAGATACAAATTAGATACAAATGAAAGATTTAGATACAAATTTTAAAATGACTTTGCCTTGAGCCAGATGTGTTTCACACACTGAGATTTTTTTTTTTCCAGTTTGCTATAGGGTGTGTGCGCTTGCTGGAGATAGAAAGAGAGACAAAGTGAGAAATCACTTCCCAGGGGTGATGTCCACACCACAGTCCCTTCTCCATTCTCTTCTTGGGACTTTGAGCATGTGCACATACGTGCGCAGTGTGATTTTCAAGCTGCTGGGTCCTGGACCTGAACCACGTAGTAGGCTGAGGGATCCAGCCGCCTTAACCTCCGCGCCATCTGCTGTCCCCACATTCTTGCAGGTTTGTTGGTTAGACTGGGCCAGGGAGAAAGGTTGTATTTAAATGAATATCTACTAAGTAGCTCTCGGTCCCTCATCTTTGCACCAACTGTAATGACATTACCTGCAGGTGGCTGTAAGGGCAGGGAAATGCCGGGGCTTGTTCATCCAATCCTGGGCTGTTTTGTGTCCTGTCACATGTTCGATCTCCCTCCTCACCGCCAGAAGAAATAGCAGTTGGCATGACCAGGAGCCGTCTGCATGTCAGCCTCCGCAGGCATGGCCCTGGTGCCTTTGCTCAGAAACGTCCCTCCCTCAGTTTCTTTGAAAGAACAGTGTACTGGTTTTTTTTATCGATGGTGACTGCTCCTTTGGTCATCGGCATCATGACTGGTGTCACGGCCAGCATGCGTTCCTGCCCTCAGGGGACTGACACGCACTGATGCTCTGCCGTGTGTGTTGATGTGTTCCCTGCTCACAGTGGGAATCTGACAAGCGCTGGTGAACAAGAGAAGCCTCACACCAGCTTCCAGTTTCCCGTCCACCTCA